AACATGGACTGGATTGAAGTAATGCTAACGCGGTCCCGTTCCAGTCATCCCTGTAACATCTATAGGGAAAGGAGAGAGGAGGATGTTTAGTCGGTATTGTTGCAAATATTGACTTCCGAGTCCGACATACCCAGGCACCAACACCTAGTCCTGGCAACAACACCAAGCCCTGGCATACGTAAATGTATTTTACCTCCTCTATAAAAAAAACACACACACACACACCGTCGTACGGACATCATCGTAAAAATAGTCAGGGAAGCTTCCTGTGACCTTCAAACGTCGAGATCTGATGAAAACTCGATTTTTGTAAAACGGGGTGAAAACAATAACTTCCCGATTTTTGAAAATCTGAGATTTTTAGCGGGAAGTTAAAAATATTCTTTAATCATTTATTTAAACTTAAAAAAATGAAAAAATCGATTATAAACAATAAGATATTGTTTTTAAGAAAAAAATTTTTTTTTTAAATCATAATTTTCTTACGCTAACAATGTAGTAATTTTTTCGTGGGCAATATTTAATTTCATGTGCACAAACATATAGAAAACGTTAATGTCTTAAGTTTTAAAAATTTGAGGTACTCAATGACGCACGCCAAGTACGTTAAAGAAGATTTTCATTAAGTTTTAAATTTGCTACTAACTTTTTTTCATATTTTTAATAAAGTTATAAACAATACTTGGAGTTTCTTTGATTTCAAATTTTTTTGTAAAAAACGATTATTTTTTTTCGAAGTCTTATGAACCTGGACTTGGCGCGGTTTTTCACACTGAAACTGTTTTTGTTTGGATTCTAGAAACATTTTTCAATACTCTCCTAATTTTTTTTCCAATTCTGTCGAGAGAATTTTTTAATATAATAAAAAATAGTTGGAGAGACCGGACTTTTTACATACATTAAATGAAACATGACTCAAAATCGCCAACTTTGACTTTAAATACCTCGCGATCTAAACGGTCAAAAATGATGAAATTGTAGGAATTTATAAATAAAGCTTTTCTGAACCCATAAAAAATATATCAGCCGAATCTTTCGAAAAGTGATTTCATGCTGGAACTACGTTGATGCTCATGTATTAACTAAATATTATTTTTCTTTTTATTTTTAAGTAATTTATATAACTCTTTACTGAGAATAGATAATTTAAATGAGTAATTACTCTTCAAATCTGTGTACAAACAATGATATCAAATTTATTTATTTGTCTGTTATTGTCTTAAATAATAGTCATATGTTGAAAATTATTATTTGACTGCAAAAAAGAAATTGGATCTTCGATACCATACAGCGAAGTCATTCACCAGGACGCAAAAAGTACACTCTATCGTACCTATGAGCGACGGAAATGTGAGAGTTAAAGAATATTCGAGTTTTACGGAAGATCGTACATGTAAAATTAAAAAAAAAAAATTACTAACTAAAAAGAAAAATGCATATTTTATGTTAACACATAATAAAAATATAATAGATTAATTTTATGTTTATACTTAAATTATTTAAGGAATAATTATTATGTAAGGACATAATAATATATCAACGAATTAAAATTCTGAGTTGAGCTGATGACAAAAAGAATATTTTTATTATGTGTCATGATAATTAAAAATAAGCGTTTAATAATTATGTGAGGACATAATTTTAACTAACAATTTTTTTTATGTAGTGACATAAATTAAATTGGCTCCTGTAGATTTATATTTTTGGAGTAATTATTTGTAACATTTTAATTTCTTTTAATCTAAAATTTTATACAAATAAGAATTAAAACTATCCCCACAATAGAAATTCGGAATTAAAATTATGTACATAATAATAATTCAGAATTTAAATTATGTACATAATAGTAATTCGGAATTAAAATTATGTACATAATAAAAATGTTATAATTAAAATTATGTACATAAATAGAAATTCAGAATTAAAATTATGTACATAATAATAATTCAGAATTAAAATTATGTACATATTCTTTAATTGATAGTGGGAAATAAGGACTCTTGTGGAATATTTCTTGTGGAATATTTTTTATTTCATCGCCAACGTTTCGTCAGTGATTCCTGACTTCTTCAGGGCTCTACAATGACGAAAATACACAAATTTAACATACAATATATAAACACGTCAGCTAGTAAATACAATTTTCATGTGTCAGTTAATATAAATACAATAATAAGACTAATTCGATCTAACCTTTAAAATTATAGATTACAACAACCAATTTTTTTTATTTCATAAACATACTAACCAAACTTTAAATTACTCCACAATTTTCATCAATATAAATTTTAAAAAGTCCCAACTGGCAAAAGAATACATCCAGACTTCAATTTTAAACTGATAAATAAAAAATCTCTTTGTAAAAACTTTATTGTGAAAGTACGTACACACATTACTCAATTCAGTTATAATAATAACCACTCAGTCCAACCTGTAAACATATGACCAGTGTCGGTAAACTAAACCTCAACTCTACTGACCATCTCGCGCTAAATTCAAATATGTTTTTAAGTTTGACATCTCTGTAGTTCTTTTTTATAGATGTCTAAAATTTGATTATACGCCGTACTTAAATTTTGAGTGTCAGTTCTGTAATTAACTGAATCGTGTAATGTTATCTGTATCATTTCACTGATATTCTTTTTTAAATGAACTCTTTCTGTGTCTACTATTTCAACATTATCAAACCCGAAACTATGGCCCGAATCAAAGTGGTGAGCAGCCAGTGCCGTTTTATTTTCTTTCAACACATTCACATTTTTACAGTTAAACTTGTGTTGAGCTATTCGTTATATATATATACTGTCCTATATTTCCATATATTTACTGCTCCAGTTGGAATTTTTTTATATAAGTTATTTAAAATATTATTATAACTCCATTCTATTTGCTTAATTTTCCAATTATTAATTTTTATCTCTTACTTTAGAACTGAACTCCACAGTTGAAAACTCTACAGTGATGGTAACGAACATTGATCAAGATAAATTTATTTATAATTTTACGGACATCGCCCTCCCAGAAGAAGTCGTTAAAACACTGAGACTGGAGCCGAAGTTTGGGTTGCCTCTGGAGAAGAGGACTGCAGTTATCCCAACGATAATAAAGGACATATAGTTCTGTATCCAGAATACTGATGTACAAGGTGAGAGTATGAAGATAATTGAAGAAAACAGGAATAAGATCAGATCAGATGTAGTGAATGTTTTAATGAACTTCTTCAGGAAGAAAGAACCTAGAGAGTTTGACGAAATCCGGAAAAACATGAGGATCACGAGTAGGTTTCTAAAAGAACATGACGAGTTAATAGTAGCCAGGTCAGATAAAGGTGGTTCAACGGTAGTAATGTACAGAGAAGAGTATGTCACAGGAATGAATGATATGTTGAAAGATGATAGAACATATAAAAAGATAGTGAAGGATCCAACAAATAAGTTTCAGTTACAATCTAATGTAATTGTCAAAGACTTATTAGCGTGCAAGGTGATTGATGAAATACAGGCGAAGTATTTAAAAACATATAACGCGGTCTCACCAAAGATATATGGTCTCCGAAAAACTCATAAGGAGAAGTTTGCTTTACGACCTGTGGTGAGTTGTATTGGAGCACCTAATTATAAATTAGCGGGCTTCTTACATAGAACCCTTTCACCATGGACATCAACTATAAAATAGAATGTAAAGAACTCAATAGAGCTGGTGGAGGAGCTGAGGAAAGTAGTGGTGCCGGATGATCATGTGCTGATATCCCTGGATGTGACTTCACTCTTTACGAACATCCCTAAGGATCGAGTTTTGAAAATAATTGACGAGGATTGGAATGAGATGTCGAAAGCTGTTAAAGTCAGGAAAGATAACTTAATAACGCTGGTAAATTTCTGTTTTGACTCAAGTTATTTTACATTCCAAAATGAAATCTATCAGCAGCTTGAGGGATCAAGCATGGGCAACCCTGCTAGCCCCAGTTTGGCTAATATAGTGATGAACTATGTTATTAACAAAGCTGTAGACATCTTAAATTTTAATATTCCATTATTGAAGCTATATGTGGACGATACTCTCCTGTTGATTCCAAAGGATAAAGTAGATGAGGTATTTCGTTGTTTCAATAGCATTAATGATAAGATCAAGTTTACAATGGAAGTTGAAATAGAAGGAAGGCTACCGTTTTTGAACTTGGTGGTCATTAGAGAAGAGGAGAGACTTATAACAGACTGGTATGTTAAGGAAACGAGCAATGGAAGATTACTGAATTTCAGATCGAATCATCCGAGTAGCCAGAAGTTGGGCATGATCAATGAACTACTACATAGAGCGATAAATCTGAGTAATGAGAAGTTTGCGGAGAAGAATCTAGCTAGGGTCAAGGAGCTTTTGAAAAATAATAATTATCCAGTATGCTTCATAAACAAGGCTGCGGAATTATTTTCAAAGAAAGTTGAAGCTAAGAACAACATAGCAGGAGTCTCCAATATTAAGAAGTGCTACAAATTTCCGTTTATAAAAGGTTTATCGTAAAAATTGGACCACTGTTTGAAAGACAAAGAGGCGAAGTTAGTGTTCTATAATATGAATACAGTTAAGAAAGTGTACACGAGGCTGAAAGACAAAGTCAAATTGGAATGCATGTCAAATGTCGTGTACAAGATTCCGTGCAGTTGTAATAAGGTATATATATAGGTCAGACATCTCAGTATGTGAAGAAACGAATAGCTCAACACAAGTTTAACTGTAAAAATGTGAATGTGTTGAAAGAAAATAAAACGGCACTGGCTGCTCACCACTTTGATTCGGGCCATAGTTTCGGGTTTGATAATGTTGAAATAGTAGACACAGAAAGAGTTCATTTAAAAAAGAATATCAGTGAAATGATACAGATAACATTACACGATTCAGTTAATTACAGAACTGACACTCAAAATTTAAGTACGGCGTATAATCAAATTTTAGACATCTATAAAAAAGAACTACAGAGATGTCAAACTTAAAAACATATTTGAATTTAGCGCGAGATGGTCAGTAGAGTTGAGGTTTAGTTTACCGACACTGGTCATATGTTTACAGGTTGGACTGAGTGGTTATTATTATAACTGAATCGAAGTCTGGATGTATTCTTTTGCCAGTTGGGACTTTTTAAAATTTATATTGATGAAAATTGTGGAGTAATTTAAAGTTTGGTTAGTATGTTTATAAAATAAAAAAAATTGGTTGTTGTAATCTATAATTTTAAAGGTTAGATCGAATTAGTCTTATTATTGTATTTATATTAACTGACACATGAAAATTGTATTTACTAGCTGACGTGTTTATATATTGTATGTTTAATTTGTATATTTTCCTCATTGTAGAGCCCTGAAGAAGTCAGCAATTACTGACGAAACGTTGGCGATGAAATAAAAAATATTCCACAAGAAATTGAGTTCTTATTTCCCACTATCAATTAAAGAATTTATAAGACAAGGACATATACATCATGGATTATGTACATAATAGTAACTCAGAATATATATATATATATATATATATATATATTTATTTATTTAATTGCTTTCCATAATATACATTGGTTGCAATGAGGTCCGCAGATAGGACTAATAATCAATTTACATAAAAATTTCATAAAACAAGTATATAAAAAAAATAATACATAATTGTTTAGTGTGAAGAAGTATTTACATTTTGGTTTGATTCTCTTAAACCTTAATTTTTTGCTCTTAAATTGCAACAAATTGTTATGTGACGGTATATGCAATTGAGTTGTTTGGGCAGGTACATCATTAAAATTTTATCGAGAGGAGCTTGTTCAGAAGATAAGTCTAAATTATCAATTAATTTAGTTCTAAGGTTTGTAAAGAGCGTACAGTTTAATAGGAAGTGTGATAAGGTATCATACTCTCCAAGATTACATAGAGGACAGACTTCGGAAGGTTGGAATTTTAATGCTTCTCCATTTGTATAAATTTTAGAGCCAAATAAATTTGCCGTTCTAATTTGTGCAAAGACTTTCTTTACCCGTAAGGGGACATTACTAAATAAGTAGCGATTTGTGCTAGTTTGACAAATACCATTTGACTCTAAATAAGCTATATTTGATACCTGTGCGCGAATTTTAGCTGTAAGCGTTTGCCTAAACTTTTCAAGAATTACCTCACCAACTTTTTTCCACATTACACTGTCTGTTGAATCTATAATATACATATATCTGCTATCAATTGATATTATAAAGTTACAGAGTTGTGCCACCTAGTTATATTCCAGACTCGATTCTCCCTTTTTATAAAGTAAAATCTGTTTTTGAAAGCATAAATATGGAAATCTGTTTCTGTCCATGTTTAAAATTTTAACTACCCAGTTCTATGCTTGTTTCCAGACGTTAACAGCAAGATCAATATTATTTGATTTAAATTTTACAAGAGCATTTGAGGTCGTGCGTTTCAGATTTAGAATTGATTTGAAAAAGTCTGTTAAAACAAATTCTAATTCATTTGTATATCTTAAAGCCCAGATTGGTGAGGCATAAAGAGCAACCGAAGATATCATACTGTCGAAGAGTAGCACTATGCTATTGATGTTACTTATCTTTGCTTTGTAGATTAGCGATATGACTGCGCTTGAGGCGATTTTGGCCTTTTGAATTGCACTAGTTAAGGCCGAACGGCCAAGACCTGAAGAAGCAACAGGTACACCCAGGTAGGTGAAGTTTGACACCACTTCAATTGGACTAGAATCATAGAAAAATTTCAGATTCGAAGGAATTTTGCCAGCCTTTCGACAGTATAATATCTTCGTCTTCTCCTTATTCACAGTTAGCCCTTTGAGCTCGCAATAATTATGCAGAAACTTTAATAGTGGCCAAGTCCGCTTTGTTTCTGGCGATGATGACAAGGTCATCTGCGTATAAAAGAATTAAGATGTCAGTCAGTAAATTTATACTAACGCCGTATAAACCTCTGGACCGAAAAAGTTCCACGATATCTGCTATGTACATGATGAAGAGAAGGGGGCTTAGAATCTCCCTCTGCAGAACGTCTTCTGTGATGTCAATCTCTTCTGTAAGGCCTTCTTGTGTTTTAATACGGATTGTAGCTTTATCGTACAGTGACTTTAGAACTCTTATCAACTTCGCGCTCACGCCTAACTCCAGAAGAGTTTTCCAGAGCTTATCGTGCGGCACAGTATCAAAAGCTCGTTTAAAGTCCACAAATAGGATGAATACAGACCCTTTTTCTTTTCTTAAGCTGGTGTGTATCACTTCCATAAGTGTGTAAAGATTGTCCATGCAGCTTCTTTGAGGCCTGAACCCAGTTTGCCCTTCTGGAAGTATGTTGCACCTTTTCGCCCATTCGTACAGTCTCGCAGCAATCATCGACGTGAATAGTTTTATAATGTGATTTATAAGGGCTATGCCACTATAATTATTTGGATCGCTTTCGTCCCCCTTCTTATGTAGCATAGTTAAAGTAACACTTGCCCATGAGTCTGGAATTTTTTTTTCACGGAGGGTCTTGTTGAAAAGGCATAATAAATAAAGTTTCCAGTTGTACGATAATCCTTGGTAGAATTCGTTGGTGATAGTGTCACAGCCAGGCGCTTTTCCTCTTTTACTTTGCTTAATAGCCTTCTTCAGTTCCTCCATGGAGAATTCATTGTCCAAGAAGGGATCCCAAACCCCAGAATACATGCAGTCCGACGGCTCGACAGGTTTCATTATGTTTTTGTAAAAATTTACCCACTGATACGGTTCGATCTTTGGATGGATGTAAGCTCTTCGTCGATGACTTCCTAAAGCTTTCCAGAACTCCGACTGGTTTTTCGCTTTATTAATTTTATTTGTCAGGTTCTCAACATATTCTAGCCTATTCTTCTCCCAATGTAATTTTAATTCTTTGGACGCATTAATATACTCTCGTCTATCACTTTCTTTGAAGTTATTTTTCCTGTAGATTCTCAGTTTTTTATTTGCTACATTTTTTAGTTCTTTACATTTTTGGTCTACCCAAGGCTCGTGACTTTTCACCGCCTGCTCTTTGGATTTAACCACTAGCCCATTATCTGTAGCAGCTGCGGTAATAGCCGCTATCAAGTTGCTTTGGATAACAGTGACCGATTCTTGTTCAAAATTTATGCAGATCAGCGTAGAACGACTGATACAATTTTTGAAATCGGGAGCTTTCTCAGCTCTCCATTTAAGTTTTATAGAGTTTATTTTTCTGCTGGGTAGAAGAGGTTTGTTATACTTTAAATACAGAGAGATTGAAAAATGATCTGAAAAGTTCACGGACTGAAGAATTTTAAAATCTTTAAATTTTTCCAATCCTTCCAAATTAGTCCAGGCCAAGTCGATCGTGCTACTACCTTTGCCGAAGTAAGTTGGCTGCGCAGGATTATTGCTGAGAGATCTTCCGTTAACAATTATCAAGTTTATACTATCCACATAAAAATTTAATTTATTACCTTTATCGTTAAGTGCGTTGATGCTCATGTTGCATGTTGCAGACAACTCTGAGTCTTTAAATATTTCTTCTGGATATTTTGTGGGCATACCAATGTGTGCGTTAACATCACCCATCAAGAAAATTGGAGACGCTTCAAATTGATTTAGAATAACCTCTATTGCTTCTTGAAACTTCATCAAATCTTTGCAGAAAAGGGAGATATCAGGCCTGAAATATGTAAAACCAACAATACAGTTTATTTCTTTATGTAATATGCGGACAAAACAAGAATTATACGAGCTATGTAGAATAACTGAATTTATACTGTTTTTTAAGAGAAGTAGAATACCACCACTGGGTCGTCCGGCAGATTTGCATTTAGAAGCTTCGATCCAGTGCGCGTTGTACTGATTCTGCCATTTCCCCAAATTGAGTTGTTTTGTCGCCCAGGTTTCAAGTAAACATATCACATCATAATTTATAAAGTCTTTACATGCCCAAAAATTTTTAATACCGTTCACGTTCCAGAGTACTATTTTAAGAGAATCGTTTAATTGTTACTTCTGCTGCGAGGGGTTTGGTTCATTACTGCCACAAGTTTCGACCTCCATCGAGTTCTCTCTCTGCAAGGGGAAAGAATCCACGAGCTCCTGGCGGTTTTCGTTTCACATCTTCCATTTACCATCAACGCAAACTTTATTGCCAAACACTTTGATCTTCGCTCCTTGTGCTTTTAATTCTTTCGTCACAATTCTTATATTGCGCTGTTCGAGCGCTTGGATCTCAGTGAGATCATTGTCAATATATATCTTGGTCTTTGCTAAAGCTCTTCGTTTATTCGACATAACCTTCTTTTTAACTTCAGCATTCTTCAAGACAACTTTATAGATGTTTTTCTCCCTGCCAAGAGTCGAGATACCTTCAATAACTTCTTGAAGTTCAAATGTATTTTTTAAAAAATCGGAGATCAATGACAGAGGGTCCTGCGAAGCTGCTAGACCTTTTATTATGATGATGAGTTTTTTTATCATCACGGTCTTTGCGTTCAAGGTTATCTGCGAATCTTAATAGCTTATTAAATTTATTCGATTTGACACTCGGTTGTTGGTGGCTCTCTTCAACTGCAAATGGAAAAGTGGAGTGAGGGAAATTGCGTGGAGATTTCAGCTTAGTTATTTCATCACTTAATTTTTTAATTTCATTTGCTCGCGCTTTATCTTTTTCTTCGAAATCAGTCCTGAGCTTTTTAATTTCCTCTTTGTGCTCTCTCCTAACCTCAGCCACTTGCAGATGAATCCGTTCTTCCAGATTCTTAAGATGTTGTGCATTCTCATTTCTGAATTTCTTAATTTCATTTAAAATGTCGTTGTTAGTTGGATTCATCTCGTCATGTTGGAGAGGGAGAAGCGATTGGACTTACCTCTATAGAATTATTTGCAGAGTGTGTCAGTTCAAATTCAATCATTGGCTTCTTCTTGGCAGCGTTTAGTTCCAAAGACGTATCACCCGCAGAGTTACTATTGTCAGTAGGCTCCCTTTTTCTTTTAGTTAAA